TTTCAAACATGTCAATATGCTTCCTTCGGAAAGGGAGAATGTGCAGTTAGGCGAGTTCTAAACAGCATGCCACCTACAGTTTCATCAGTAGACAGGGAATTAAAGATGCAATCATACAATGGGAAGCGAAGCAGCTGGAGAAAGGGTGAGGGACCATTTATTTATTTATTTTTGAGACGGAGTCTCGCTCTGTCGCCCAGGCTGGAGTGCAGTGGCGCGATGTCAGCTCACTGCAAGCTCCACCTCCCGGGTTCACGCCATTCTCCTGCCTCAGCCTCCCGAGTAGCTGGGGCTACAGGCGCCCACCACCGCACCCAGCTAATTTTTTGTATTTTGTTTAGTAGAGACGGGGTTTCACCATGTTAGTCAGGATGGTCTCGATCGCTTCGGCCTCCCAAAGTGCTGGGATTTACAGGCGTGAGCCGCCGTGCCCGGCCAAGGTGAGGGGCTCTTTACATACCAACACTGAAAACTCTCCAAGATACATCACGTGAAAAATATTAAGATACAGAACAGTGTGTATGATATACTATTGTTTATGTAAAGAGAAAAGCAAGGGGCTGGGTGTGGTGGCTTACGCCTGTATAATCTCAGCAGTTGGGGAGGCCAAAGTGGGCAAATCACTTGAGCTCAGGAGTTTGAGAACAGACTGGGCAACACAGAGGGACCTTGTCTCTACTACAAATACAGCAAAAAAATTAGGCAGGCGTGATGGTGCACGCCTGTAGTCCCAGATAGTTGGGATACTGAGGTGGGAGTATTGCTTGAGCCAGGGAGGTTGAGGCTGCAGTGAGCTGTAATGGTGCCACTGCACTGTAGCCTGGGTGACAGATTGAGAACCTGTCTCCAAAACAAATGAACAAAAAAACCAAAAACCAAAAAAAACCCAAAAGGAGGGTATACATTTATGTGTATATACTACATTATAAAGGCAATGATCTAAACCTAACCATACAATGTACTACATTATAATATATAAATACTTCTTTCTGGAAACTCACATAAGAAACTAGTGACAGTGGGTGGACTGGGGAGCAGGGAAAGGGGAAGACTGTTCCCTCTCATATTTCTTTTCTAGTTTCGGGATTTTATCTCATGTGAATGTATAATTTTCAGAGAAAACTTAAAAGGCAATCTAATTTTCATCAGAAATATTTAATTTTCAAAATTATTCTAGTATTCAGAGTGCAAATTCAAGTCACTATAACTCCTTTTTTCACATATTTAAAAGTTAGTTGAGTTGTCTTCCTTAAGAAGACAGAGTTTTATAATAACTAAAATGTTGTAATACCAAAGGACCTCCCAGAGAGTTTTGTTTTGTTTGTTGTAGAGGCAGGGGTCTTGCTACACTGTCCAGTCTGTTCTTGAACTCCTGGCTCAAGGGATCCTCCCAAAGTGCTAGGATTACAGGTGTGAGCTACCATGCCTAGCTTCCCAGAGAGTTTTTAATGAGGGTTCTGAAGGCTGGATACTAAGTCTTGATTCAGCTATTTTCCTTATTCTTTCTTTTTTTTTTCTTTTTTTTTTCCAGAGACGGAGTCTTGCTCTGTCGCCCAGGCTGCAGTGCAATGGCACGATCTTGGCTCACTGCAACCTCTGCCTCCTGGGTTCTAGCAATTCTTCTGCTCAGCTTCCAGAGTAGCTGGGACTACAGGTGCCCACCGCCACGCCAGGCTAATTTTTTGTATTTTAGTAGAGACGGGGTTTCACCGTGTTGCTCAGGCTGGTCTCAAACTCCTGAGCTCAGGCAATCCACCCTCCTTGGCCTCCTAAAGTGCTAGGATTACAGGCATGAGCCACCATGCCTGACCAATTCACCTATTTTCTAGCAGTGACTTGGATCAGTTGCCCAAGCACTAAGCACTTCCATTTCATCAGGTATAAAAAGAGAATGATCCCACACTCCATCTTCTTCATAGGCCCAGCATGACTTACTCATGATGATGTACATAAAAGCCCTCCAAAAATGGAGAATCCCTATTCTAGAATTGAGTTGTTCTGGGCAATTACATTTTATAACTTTTTTTGAAGTACTTGTGTAATTCCACACTCAAATAACTTAAGTCAAATTTTCCTGTCAGAAAAAGCATAAAAGTAAAGGGACCTCTACCTAAAACCATGTGGCATGTTTTCACATTAGCACTTTTTCGGCTCCTAAAACCTTTAGGTTTTTCACTTTCTCAGCATCACCTCTCTTGTGTACAAACTGCTTTCTTCCAAATGAACAGCCAGGCATATTAGGGTGGGCTGTTCTGGGCCTTCTTCACAGCTTTCTACCACTTCTCACTTTTGTTCCCAGTTTATTGATCTGGGAACAGTTTTTTAGTCCTCCCACTAGTACCAACACATAAAACTTGGGTGAAATGGTGACATGGTTTGGCTGTGTCCGCACCCGAGTCTCATCTTAAATTCCCACATGTTTTAGGAAGGACCAGGTGGGAGGTAATTGAATCATGGGGGCAGGTCTTTCCCATGTTGTTCTCATTAGATTGAATAAGTCTCATGAGATCTGTTGATTTTATAAGGGGACTTTCCCTGCACAAGCTCGCTCTTTGCCTGCTGCCGTCCATGTAAGATGTGACTTGCTCCTCCCTGCCTCCCACCATGATTATGAGGCCTCTCCAGCCACCTGAAACTGTCAGTCCATTAAACCTTTCTCCTGTGTAAATTGCCCAGTCTTGGGCATGTCTTTATCAGCAGTGTGAAAATGGACTAATGAAAATGGCTTTGAGATATAAAAAAGTCTTAAATTACACTAAAATCACCAGAGTTCCAATGTCTATAAACAACAGTGCAGTTCCCATGATCCTGATAAAAACCCACAGATGTCTCTGTATACTGGGTGAGCTGGTGCCACCATACAGCAACAGTGTGAGTGCAGTTTCTATCTTTCACTCAGCTGCTCAGCTTTGAAATGATTCTTGACCAAAACATTCATTCATTAATTAGCAAAAGCAAAGACTTATTTTTAATTTGAGGAGATGTGAACTATTTCAAAACTTGCTTATAAAGTCAGGTTTGATTAATATTATTTTATTTCATATTACTTCATATTTGCCCAATTGAAATACACGTAAACACAACCTTGCTGAAAATCACTAGCATATGGCAGAGAGCACAAAGAAAACATTTCCCAGGCAATGCTTAGAGCTCCTGATTAGTTAAAAGCTCTGAGGGGAAAATAAATTCAAAGTAATGTTTGAAATGACAGTGAATAGGTAGATTTATAAAAATAAAAGTATATAATGTTTAAGGTTCATTTATCTCCATACATAAAATAAATAAATAAAAGCCCTCTTTTTACTGAAGAAGACAGAACACACAAATGCAACTCCTTTCCTTTAACAGACTTCATTAAAATGATAACAAAGGCATTTTTAAAAACAAGTATGTCCAGGTGAGGCGCAGTGGCTCATGCCTGTAATTCCAGCACTTTGGAGGCCGAGACAGGTGGATCATTTGAGGTCAGGAATTTGAAACCAGCCTGGCCAACATGGCAAAATCATCTCTACTAAAAATACAAAAATTAGTTGGGCATGGTGGCAGGTGCCTGTAATCCCAGCTACTCGGGAGGCTGAGGCAGGAGAATCGAGTGAATCTGGGAGGCAGAGGTTGCAGTGAGCCGAGATCACGACACTGCACTCCAGCCTGGGTGACACAGCAAGACTCTGTCTCAAAAACAAACAAACAACAAGAAGAAAAAACAGGTATGTCCAGACAATAATGTAATAATGTGGCAAACTGGAGAAGGCACATTAGCTAATGAGAGCTTTCTCCATGGTTGTGGGTAATGGAAAGCAGATGACGGTCTGGTAGTTGAGGAATCAGGGAAGAGGGGCATTAGACTAGAGTAGAAGGGGCTCCAGCCCAAACAAGACTCTGCAGACCCTGGAGAGGCTCTGAAACACCAGGAACAATGGTGGGAACGTACTTGGGAAGAAAACTAAAAATAAGTGTCAATGGAATCTACCCTTTGCCCTGCCTGGCCATGTGCCATAAGACAAAAACAAAATTGAAAACAAAAGCAAAACCTTTCCTATATCCTGATACTTAAAATTCTGTCAGTGTTTGATGGCTCATACCTATAATCCCAGCACTTTGGGAGGCTGAGGCAGGAGGATCACTTGAGCCTAGGAGTTTGAGACCAGCCTGGCCAACACAGCGAGACCCCCATCTCTACAAAAAATAAAAAATATTAGCTAAATTTAGTGGCATGCACCTGTAGTTCCAACTACTTGAGAGGATTGCTCCTGGTGGGAGGATTGCTTGAGCCCGGGAGGTCGAGGCTGCAATGAACCATGATTATGCCACTGCACTCCAGCCTGGGCAGTAAGTAGAGCAAGACCCAGTCTAAAAAAAACAAAAACAAAAAAACAAAATCTACAGAAGGTTGAAGATAAATTTAATAAAATATCTCAAAAAACAGAATTAAAGAAATATTTAAAATATGAAAAAATATTAAAGGTCTGGAGAATCAAACTGTGAGGTCCCTATCTAAGTGATGGGAGATGCAGACATGAAACAGAAAAGTAGAAGGAAGAAAGTGTCAAGGAGGTAATATAAAAATATTTCCCATGCTGCGCATGGTGGCATGTGCTTATGGTACCAGCTGCTTGGGAAGCCGAGGCAGGAGAATCACTTGAGCCCAGTAGTTGTGGGCTGCAGTGAGCCATGATCATGCCACTGCACTCTGGCTTGGATGACAGAGTAAGAACTTATCTCTAAAAACATTTTTAAAAAATTAATTTAAAAAATAAAAATAAATCATAATTTTTTCCAAAGTTGAAAGAGGCAAAAGGGCTCTCACTAGGTGCCTAGCACAGTAGATGAAAATATCTCATATAGTTCTGTGGGTTGGCTGGGCTCAGCCAAGCGGTTCTCACCTTGAGGGTTGGTGCTCCCCAGCCACTGAACCTAGGAAGATAGTTTTCCTACCCTATCTTTTCAAGTAATGGAAATCAGAGCCAAATTCATTTTCCAGCCCTCTCCTCCTTACTTACCGCACTCCAGCTGTTACCAGTAGGGAATCTGATGGGTCTGCGGCAGCAACTCTATTCTTCCCTCCTCAGAGGAAAAAATTCACCCAAGGGGCATAAGGCAGAGTAAGACACCAAGACAATTTTTAGAGCAGGAGTGAAAGTTTTTAAAAAAGTTTTAGAGAGGAATGAAAGGAAGTAAAGAATACTTGGAAGAGGACCAAGCAGGTGACTTGAGAAATCCAAGTGCGCTGTACAACCCTTAATGCAGGGTTTTATATATTGGCACGGTTCTGGGATTTGCATTTCTTCTCTCCTGATCCTTCCCTCAGAGCAGGCTGTCCACTTACGCAGTGGCCTACCAGCACTGGGGAGTGGCCACACTCAGTGTGTTTACTGAAGTTGTGCGCATGCTCATTTGAGGCATTTTTCCCTTGCCAGTTGTGAATTCCTAGAGGAAGGTCATATATTAGTTAAACTGATATTTTGCCTCTTAGGGCGCATGCCTGAGCCCACTTGCCCAACTCCTGAGATCTTATCAGGAAGCCGCTGACACTAGCTTCAGGTGTTTTCTATCTATTGGGAGACGGCCTTTCCCTGGTGCTAGCTGCAACCAATGATGATTTTAGAGAAACAGTGGAACAACCACCTGACCATCATATGACAGTCACCTGACATTCCTGGTTGGGGGTGGGGGTGGAATGCGCTCTGCTGCCCTGCTCATGTCCCCCTAGCTACCTACTCTGACACAGATATGTGTGCCTTCCTGAACTTTCTTGAATGTGTCAGACTCATTTTAACCCCAAAGACTTTTTTTGCTATTGCCTTTGACTACAATATGATTTCCCTGTATTTTTGCATGACGCATTACTCCTCACAATTCAAGTCTCATCTCAAATGTCACCTCCTCAGAAAAGATGTTGTGCTGCTCATCACATCTAAAATAGCAACTCCCAGGCCAGGCCCAGTGGCTCATGCCTATAATCCCAGAACTTTGGGAGGCTGAGGTGGGTGGATTACTTGAGGTTAGGAGTTCAAGACTAGCCTGGCTGACGTCGTAAAACTCCCTCTCTACTAAAAAGACAAAAATTAGCCAGGCGTGGTGGCCTGCACCTGTTATCCCAGTTATTTAGGAGGCTAAGTCAAGAGAATTGCTTGAACCCAGAGGCGAAGGTTGCAGTGAGCCTAGATCGCACTGCACTACAGCCTGGGCGACAGAGTGAGACTCTATCTGGAGGGGGAAAAAAAAAATGTAACTTCCATTCTCCACCTATCCCCTTAGCCTATTTAAATTCTTCATAGCACTTAGAATTACCAGATCCTTTTTTTTTCCTTTTCTTTATTATCTGTCTCCTCCATGAGAGTAGGGACTTTGTCTTATTCATCATTATACAGATAGTTCTGGAGCCACCCAACGAGATCTTCTTCCCCACTGCACAGACAAAAATCAATTCACTGAGACCATGGCATTGCAATAGAGAAAGAGTTTAATTGCCATGAAGCTGACCCATGTGGAAGAACTGGAGTTATCCCTCAGATCAGTCTTCCTGTAGGCTTGGAACGTAGGGTTTTTATGGACAATTTGGTTGTCAGGGGGTAGGGGGATAGTGCCGCTGATTGGTTGGGGATGAAATCATATCAGTGTGGAAAACAGTCCTTATGCACTGAGTCAGCCTCTGGGTGGAGCCCCAGAACATGTTGAGTCATGAGTCATAAGTCTGAGTGAGGTCAGTCTGAAAAACATCTCAAAAAACCCAATCTTGGCCAGGTGCGGTGGCTCACGCCTGTAATCCCAGCACTTTGGGAGTCCAAGGTGGGTGGATCACAAGATCAGGAGTTCAAGATCAATCTGGCCAAAATGGTGAAACCCTGTCTCTACTAAAAATACAAAAAACAAACAAACAAACAACAACAAAAAAAATCAAAAAAATCTTAAGTTCTACAATAGTGATGTTACCTATAGGAGTAACTGGGAAAGTCACAGATCTCGTTAACTCTGGCTACATGACCCCTGGACAGTAAGGGACTATAGAAACTATGCCTACATTTTAGCAGAGTTCTGGTTTATTGCATAATCCTATTCTTGTGGCCTTTCATTAGTCTTACAAAGGCGATTTTGGTCCCTGAGAAAGGAGGGGGTTAGTTTTAGGGAGGGACTATTATAATCTTTGCTTTCAAATTAAACTATAAATTGAGTTCCTCCCAAAGTTAGCTTGGCCTATGCCCAGGAATAACCAAAGACAGCTTGGAGGTCAGAAGCAAGATGAAGTCAACCATGTCACATTTCTGTTACTGTCAGTTTTGCAAAGGCAGTTTCAGTCCCTAACATAATGATAATTTGATGTAGATTTATCGTAAGATGGTGCAAAAGAGAGAATGCATTCAGCAGAAACTGTACTTTGAGTATTCAAACAACTATTCTGTTTTTCACATTCAGTACAGTATTCAATAAATTATATGAGATTCAACACTTTGTTACAAACTAGGTTTTGTGTTAGATAATTTTGCCCCACTGTAGGCTAATGTAAGGTTCTCAGCACGTTTTAGGTAGGCTAGGCTATGCTACTGTAACAGCTACAATGTCTAGGGTACTTATGCTGGGGTTCGTTGTCTCAAAACGAGAAAGAATTCAGGACACGGACACACATGGGTGGGTTAAGGAGTAGAAAACTTAACAGAAGAAAGGAGAGAGAGAGAGATGTCCAAAACGGGAGCCGACGGAGTGCAGCAGATTTTATAGGCAGGCTGGAAAAGGCAGTGTCTGATTTGCGTAGACCTCATAGATTGCTACCATCAGGTATGACATTTACACAGCCCGAGGGGAAGACTGGCTGCCCCACCCTAATCTTACTACGCAAATTGGCTCTCCAGTTGATCAGCACTATCTTGTCTGCTCTTTACTGTACAGTGGCCGACAAAGAGAAGGGAAGACAGAGCCACCATCTTGAACATGTCTAGTGCCTAGCTCCGGCCGGCATTCACTAGTGCAAGCTCCCAGCTTGCTTGTTTATATCTGCAGCTTGACTTCACAGGCTGCTCTTTGTTAAAAAACGATTTGGGGTTGCTTTTCATTAAGGACAAAAGCCTTATCGAGGACGTCTGTACCCTCACTATCTGTCCAAGTAATTTCTTCTTAACTCCCATATCGCTATGTTCAGTAGGTTAGGTGTGTTAAATGCATTTTCAACTTACAGTATTTTTAATTTATGAAGAATATACAAGGAACACCTATATCATCAGTGCCTAGAACATACCTGGAATGTTTGTTGAGTGAATGCTGAATCAGAATCTTGGCTGGGCACGGTGGCTCATGCCTGTAATCCCAGCACTTTGGGAGGTCAAGGTGGGCAGATCACCTGAGGTCAGGAGTTCGAGACCAGCCTGGCCAACATGGTGAAACCTCATCTCTACTAAAAATACAAAACTTAGCCAGGCCTGGTGATCCATACCTGTAGTTCCAGCTACTCGGGAAGCTGAGGCAGGAGAATCACTTGGACCTGGGAGACGGAGGTTGCAGTGAGCTGAGATCACACCATTGCACTTGAACCTGGGTGACAAAAGTGAGACTTCATCTCAAAAAAAAAAAAATCAATTTCAAGCAGACAATGGAGCAATGCCTTTAAATTCCTGATGAAAAATTATTTTCAGCTCAAATTCTATATCCAGTCAAATCTTCAACTAATGGAAAAGTAAAATAAAGACATTTTTTAGACTCATAAAACTTGCTTGCTTTACATCTCTTCTAAGAAAATACCTCAGGAAAACCAGGGCATAAACTAAACAGTTTTAAACATGGAATCCAGAAAGCAATGAATTTAACCAAGGATGGCAGTAAAGAGAAGCCCCATGGTGACAACTGTGTAGCAAGTCTGGAATAACAGCTCATCCAAACTGAAGTGGGCAGACACAGGGCCCTGGGATGGAGTGCTCTAGGGAAAAAAAAAGGAAAGCCAGGCATAGGCATAGTGGCCCATGCCTGTAATCCTCGCACTTTCAGAGGCCAAGACAGGCGGATCACCTGAGGTCAGGGGTTCAAGACCAGCCTGGCCAACACGGTGAAACCCCATCTCTACTAAAAATACAAAAATTAGATGGGCATGGTGGCGGGCGCCTGTAGTCCCAGCTACTTGGGAGGCTGAGGCAGGAGAATCACTTGAACCTGGGAGGCAGAGGTTGCAGTGACCGAGATCATGTCACTGCACTCCAGCCAGGAAGACAGAGCGAGACTCTGTCTCAAAAAAAAAAAAAAAAAAAAAAAGAAAAAGAAAAAGAAAAAGAACAAAAAGAAGAAAAAGAGGATTTCAGTAGAAAAGTGAATTGGATGAAGAGGTTGGAAAAAGTTGACAATATATTTCTTCAAATAGTACCAAAAAAAGCGATTAGAAACTATAGAGGAAAGCAAAAGTATCGGAGAGAAAATGTAATTGATAATCATATTGATCACAAGCTCTGCATTAAACAATATTTGCAGAAATCCAAAAAGAAAAATATTCCACATTGATTTCCAAATTTGTGAATCAACTTATAGATGAAAAAGAGATGACTTACTTGTGGTTGCAGAACAACCTTGATGATGTTGTGGGGGGACCTGTGATGCACTGTCCAGAGAAAAAAGAAATTATTTTCCCAGTGACTGGAAGTGCTGTCCGCAGACAGCCCTCAGCTGCGTGCCCCTTTGCGGACTGCCTCAGCGGAAGAGAGATGCGTAGTTGAAACTCAGCTGCTTCCTCTGCCCAATCCTGTTTCCTTCCCTTCTGCAATACATCCCCTAACATACCTCCTGCATGCCAATCTGCTTCATAGTCTGCTTCCCAGAGAATCCAACCTGTGACAATTGGTACCAGAAGTGGTGTGATCCAAAAAAACCCAAACAGGAGGACTGGATGTTTGGGGTTGGGTCACCTGCCACCTGGCTGACAATGAGGACACCATCATTAGTGGAAGGTGGCACACAGATTGTCTCTGGCAGAAGGTGATGGTGCATTTATTAAAACTTTTGCTGGTGATGAGCTCAGATGGTACCTTAGTGAAGGAAACGTATTAGCTTGGATGTAGCGGGTGCTAGAGACATGAAAGAAATAGTAAGTATAGCTTT